GGGCTAAATGCTGACCCCATGCGCTGAGAACCGCGGTGTCCATGTGTCTCACCCTCTACATGTGCACCTGAGATCTTGAGATCGCAAAGTGGTTGCGATAAGGTGAAGTTGTAGCTCGATAAGCTTCAATTTGCGGTATCACATCGTACTGAGGCTCTTCGTCAAGGTGGAACTTCAGAATCGCTCCCTTCGCGACATCGGGTATTCACCGCCATGTTTCCGATGTGCGAGCATGTACATCAGCGCTTTTGGATTCCATTCGATGCATGTGTAGTTAAGAACGGTGAGACTGCAGCTCCAGCAGACTGCGGGGTCATAGCGTATGATAGCCTCGTGGCAGCTCGATGCGCGAGACTAAGCGGCAGCGCTCACCGAATGTTCCCCTCCGGACCAATGGTAAGCGCCAAAACGGGAAGGACTTTGCTGCAAGATCATGATCCTTCCATGCACAGAACATGGATTTTATGCGTGGAAACGAGGGTCTCTGCCACAGGAATTGTTCATCGAAATTGAAAAGTTGATGGTCTGCTTCCCGCTGAGTGAGCGCGGCCCGCAATATACGTGTTCGTGCCATCAAGCTGACTGCCACCGGTGAGTTTGTCAGCTCAGCGCGTCTGCCGCTCTGAAATATCTTCAGCTGGTGCGTCTCAACATTTGGTAGAGAGGAGACGGCTGGACTTGAAATCGATATAAAGTGTAGCGGTGATGCTGCTTGAATCATTCGACCGACGTGTCCCGAACTTCGCATGGCATGCATTATGATCTTTCGACTACCTGTCGATCTCGAAGTCCAGACTCGCTAACAATAATTGAGATTACACAGACCATGGTCCTCTTGATAAAAGGGTTGCGCGGTCTGAGGTGGCATCATTCAACGATTCAGTCCCGAGCTTGAGGCAGCTTGAAGATGATCGGCTAGAAGGGCAGGCCAGGCCCCGTGATCAGGTGAATTCCGATCGGAAGTTGTTAAGTAAGTCATGTGGAAGCAAACATCTTACTCACGCACTGCCGCCTAGATACCAGATCTGCTGGGTACAAGACCAAAATGTGACTTTTTCACTAAATTTGCGCCCCGAAGTTCGGAGCTGTTGTTGACTTTGCAGTGAAGCCACAAACTCACAAGGCGACGGTTACCTGGCCATTGCGCAACCTTGATAGGACAGTGGTCTGGCTTGGGAGGCGACATGACGACCTATACCACGGCCATGGAACGAGGATCGATTGTCCAATGTGATATGGAGGCCCCGACACGGTCGTCCTGGGTACGTAGGTGGTATATCAGATCAGGCAACTGAGACACCCACCAGGAGCAGTGTTACGTATATCTCCCAAGGGCATATAATCTTGGCTTGAGTTGGTCAGCCAAAATTCAACAATTCTTGCCACGGTGTGGCGTAAGGATGGATATCGGCCCCAGCTGGCCGTCAGCTGAGGAATCCAAGACTTGGGAACATGGTGAAGTAGAAGTCTAGCGCTCTTGGAGCCAGAGGAAGGGCTCTTAGGTTGCTGCTAGCTACATATAGTACCGGCAAAACGCCTCCGGCATCCGCTGGTTCGCTTATGTCAACGGTGTTTGAACGTCGGTGACGTCGGCAGAGCCGCACTTGAAGCCAACGAACTCTGTGGCCAAGAAGCATGACCGAAAGTCAATTGCGCCAACGTGCCTAGATGCCGTGAAAGAGCGACCGCCGGCCTAGACGCTTGTGCAATCCGAAGTGCGGGGGGTGAAGCGACCATTGATCAGTGAGTTGGAGATGGAGTCACAGCTTGGCCTGGAACTATACTTTGCACTTTGCACATCATCGTGGTTCTCGACGCATCTGACTTGACTCACCGGCGGCACGGTAGACTAGCTACAGACTATGAATGCCTCTGCTCGGTTGTCAATGTTGCAGATGGTATGTTGATGGGGCCGGGCAGTGCTGGTTTCCCATGCACAAAGAACTGCACGCATCCTTCCGTTGATTCCGCCCGATTACCGTTCAGCTCGGCAGGGTGCGCGAACTGCTGCGCAAATTCGCTGGACAGTGGGGTATTGGTGAAATGTGTATGAATTGGCCAATGACGAGGGCGCAAAATCCGGTCAGACAGGAAGAGGATGGCCATATGAGGTGCGTCAAGCGACTGCGGACTACTGCAGGCGGGCTGTCGGCCAGGCGCGAGTAACAGGGTGGTTGACGACGATGAGTCTTCACCAAAGATGTGCGAGTGACTGTCTACGCAACGCGCCCTCTGCAACGGGAGGTGCCAAGCTGTGTGAGGAGAAGGGCGCATTGAGGGGCAGTGCGTGTCAGAAGGAAGCGCATTTTCCGATTGCGAACACTTGTCTCATGCGCACCCTAACTTGCACACTGTTTGCGCAACAACAGCCACATGGTAATGTGCAATCCACATGGGATATGGGGGCCGTCTGTGTGTGGCAGTGCGCATGTCCGTGTTGCGGTGAGACGAAGAGCGAACTGCGCAATTGAGAGCGGGGGGAGGAACGCTACGCCGAGCATGGTGCAGTCGTGGCGGTGCCTTCGCAGGCAGGAGCGGGCCATGCCCCCAACACAGGCAGCAACACCACTCAACGTCTGCGAACTGCACGCCGTCTTGGGGCGGAGTGTCGAATCACGGCACCACAATTCGCAGCAGATGACCTCTCCGGGTGTGCGACGAGCGCGATGCGTCTTGATGAGCGAACGTGTTTGGAGTCGCGCCCAGGTCTCGTTCAGGCCACAGTCGGCGGCTTGCGGGCGCGAGCCTGAACAGCGACCAGCAGCTTCGTGTTCCAGGAGAGCGACTTCACCAGACGGCCCCGCCAATGAAGCCGCTCGAGGCACCTCGCAGCCAGCGCTCTTCAGACGGAGGAGCGTGCCAAACGTGTTTCTAGCGCGCTCAGTGCTTGTCGTCATGCTCAGAGTGTCCACCGCCCTCGCTAGAGCGCCCGGTCCTTAGCTCGACGATGGCGTCTGGTGCCAGGATTAAATCCTTAGCCCAAGGCATCCACCATCCCAGCAGACCAGGGTGCTGGATTAGTGCACTTGTCGGCCTCCAGATCGAGCAGGATATATATCCCACTCACGCCCGCTGCATCATGCCTTCTTCAGTCCAGCTATCAAACACCAAACCAATCTCCCATTTTCTGGCCATCGACTCCGGATAACACTTGTACCCACAGTCACTGGAGTGACTTCATCGCCGCCATTCCATACTTGTCTGGCACCACCATCACAACGGCTCCCAGGTTGCACTCCATCTTGAAGACTCCAACCGCCAACATGCCCTCCATTCGCACCTCAGCACCCACAGTCATCCACTCTGTTCCCTCTTCACCCAAGATGAACAGGTCGGTTGGCTTCTACCAAGACCCCGTCGAGGGTGTCTCGCGCCCAGTCAACACTTCCGAGTCCTGGGCAGCCTACAACTTCGAGACGCATGCCCGCAAGTGTGCCTACTGCCACAACCCTTACGAAGTCCACCGCAGCCGTGAGCAGCTCTGTGAGGCCGGCCACCGTCTTGCCCAAGAAGTGGCCCGCTTCATCTACAACAAGTCCGACGGCAAGACCTACTCCACTGTCGAGGAAGACCACAAGCCTGTCCGCGTTGAGCTCCCAGCCGGATACGTCGAGGTCGCCAGTCTCCTGAAGGCCATCGAGCGCAGCCTTCGACACAGGTCTCGACGATCATTCGTCTCCATGGACAGCAGCTACTACGTTGCACCTCGCGTCCCCTCATCACCAGTCAAGCGCTCCAGCTCCGTCAAAGTCACACAGGAGCCCAAGACCAAGACCAAGAACAAGACCAAATCCCGCCCACGCCCACACTCTGGCGAGATTGTCGACTGGCCGCAATCCAAGCGCGTCCTCACTGAAATCAGCAACACGGCAAACACCAAGCGCGGCTCTCTCTATGAGGAGGACTTGGCCCTCCAACGCCGCAACGCCAACAAGTACAAGGTCGAAGTCCGCGAACCGTCAGCACGCGACCTCCGCGACCACCGCTCCTCGGGCTACTACCGCTGAATAAAGCCCGGACATGTTTGCATTCGCGCCATACACCATAACCCACACTAAGACACAAGTCTGAACACACTACACCACCACATCGGTCACCCGATGCACGCGGACGCTGCAAAAGCTCCGCGCCAATCCGCCGCTTGCACATCGACTCTTCATATATTGAAAGCTTTGTTTGGTAATGCCGGCGGGTCACTGGACATGAGACAGGATACTATTAATGGTCACGATGATGATGGACTCCACCGATACAGGTGTTGAGGCAACGATGAGGAAGGGACCCTGGGACGGGTTTTCTGGGCATGACGATGACAATGCAGGGATCTGGGCAACTTCTTTACTTAGTAGCATCTATTGAATCCAGGGTTTTCTTGAACATCACTTCTGTTTTGCTTTTCTTGCTCCGTGAGGATTGATGTGTGTTTGCCACTGAGAATATTGAATGTTTTATGAGGATTGCGCAAGTGGTGATGGGATCTGCGAAGGTGGCCCGCGAGGCAATACATGCAGCGCAAGCATGTCAATGCAACTACTACACCCACCAAATTACATATTTCATCGAAGCTGCACGTTTACACCCACCAAACTGTGCACATCTATCTACTCGCCTGCGCGCCTGCGCGCCTGCGCACTTCCCACTGAGACATTCCCATGACTCCCACCCTTTCCGCCGCATGTGCAGCCAATCACCGCGCCAGAAGTGAGACAAGCGAGTTGAAACACCCGCTCATGTGGTCAGGCAAATATATGAGATCGACCGGCGCCGAGTACGACGCGGGTAGTGTTAACGACCCTGATTTCTACATTTACGTTCGTACCAGGGGGAAGTAGTGGCGAGCATCACACCCTGTTCATCACGGGTGTGGGAAGACGGCTGCGTGTGTGTGAGTGGGTGCAAGAACGGGTGAAAGATAGGTAATGCCGCCGAGCTGAGATTTGCGCCTTGGTCGTTCCCAGTCCGTGGGAAAGAAAACAAAAGCAATATTCTCCAAGGTCGTCTTACAACTACATCACGAAACTTCCAAGATATCGTGACTATTGCTTGTTGGTTGCGTTCCTTCCCGGATAATCAGGGTGCGGGGCCAAGTCAGACGTCGACGTCAGTCCGGTCAGGGTCTTTCCAAGCTTCCCGAAGATTTCGCCTGCGCGTACACCAGATGCGCACAGGGTCTCCGGCGCCATAATGGCCAGCAATACTCTCCATGAAGTCAAGATGGCATGATCAATACTTTCCTCGTCGCATGTAGTCGTGGCCTTGCTCCACCGGAATATTGTCCGCACGTTCCAACGTTTCCCCACTGCACAATCTTCTAGAAAGGGACGGTTGGGGGCCCGTGTGTGAACACGTCAAATATAGACGACGGGGATAGTCCTGGTCGAGAGATCGTCGGGTTGCAGCCTCACGATGCCCGAGATGGAGGAGATGAGGGCCAACATCTGAGGTTGAGAGTGTGAAGATGAGGCTTCACGTTAGCGAGTTCGCAAGTGACATGAACATGGCTGATGTTGACTTCAGGATGGAGTTGTTTTCGCGTATTTCCACGAAACATTCAGCCCGCGCATGCCTTCTGACGAGGTTTCGACATCGTGTCGCTCCACCAAGACATGTTCCTGCATCCGTTGTCCCTCGACTTCCTCAACGCCCAACCGCCCCTCCACCTCACAACTCAACACCAGCAAAACATCTACACCGGCGCACGTGAAACACGCTCCTCTCCCCCGCGCACGTGCCATGACAGCTGTCAAAAAGCGCACGCAATTACCTCCTCGACCTCGCATTTTACTAGGCCCACCCTCGCACCCCCATCAACCCCGCAGCGCACGATAGGCCGTCAACAGCGATCGCTTGCCGGGATGCCAGTTGACCGACTTTCTAGCTGCATGTTTAACAAGTTGAATGCATTGCAGCCTCACCGGTCCATCATTGACCACTTCTTGCATGTTCGCCGTCGATGAACTGGAGATCTGCCGGCGCCGGCGGGATTTCGTTGCTTTTCATTTGCAGATTATTTCGCGCAATTGACAACGCAACAGTGCAAATCGCTACTCATTTGTTCGTTGCTTCATTTTTCATGTAGGAAAACCCCGACGTCTCGGTACTTGCGTGCCGGCGTGCTGGGAGCCCGTTGCCAACAGCCCAACCACCACCAGCTCGTCTATCGACCGTGCAAAAGTGCACAACTCTTACTGGGCAGTGCCAGTTTCAGCGAGCGGCAGAAAAGGAGCACCAGATTGGTCGGACATTTGCTGGTGCTGTTGAGGTTTGGTGATGCGCCTAGGGGTGAGGCGCAGTGCAAGCCACAGGGCTGAGTGCGGGAACCATCACACACCTACGGGCACGAACTACCACTTGGGAACAAGCGAATCCTACCTCGACGCGCTCGAACTAGGTACGCATTGTGGAAATGAACCCCCTTCCCATTCACTGCTCCCCCTCTGGCCGACCGTTGGGGTCCGTCGGCGCTTGCTTGCAAACCTTGTCAGTACCAGCCCTATACCTACACAAACCTCGAAATAGAGCATGAGGTACCTACTCTACTGCGCCGCAGATGGTTTGTTTCATGAACACAGCGCCAATGAGCATCAGGTTTTCTGCCATACACGGTGTTGGAAAACTTGACGCACTTACTGTCTCGGAGGACTGTGGGGAAAGAGCTATACTTGGGTACCGCGTGGGTTGCGCGTACATGTCTTAGATGGGCGTTGCGCGAGTGGGCAGATGCAGAGGATTTGGGGGCGGAAAGCGATGAGTTCGAACCACGGACATCACCGATACCGTGGTAGAGACTTGCACGACGCAACTCGACCTGTTCACCATGGCCCCAAAAGTTTCAGGTGCATATACTCCTCGAGCGAAAACGTCACATTGACGAAGCCTCAGTGTTGGGTCATGATACCATTCTAATCGGCACGGGGGCCTGATGACGATGATGAGGTAGCATTGTCAGCCATCATTGCACCTTTCGCGTGACGCAGTCCTCGGTTGAAAAACCGTCGAGACTTTCTCAGCTCTAACTCCGTTCCTGCATACTTGCAACACTCCGCCTCCTCGCCTCCTCCACATCGCCCCCAAAGTACCTCGTAATCTCCACATCTAGCGCCCGCCCCTCTAGCTTCGGCATCGTCCTCGCCTGCCTGACTGGGCTGATATTGTCGTGATACGCACTAGCGAATATGACGTCTAGTTCTTCCAGACTCCGGCCCTTGGGCTCGGGGAAGAAGAAGTACACGGATGGTATGATGGCTGCATTAAACACTGCGAACATAGTGTACGTGTTATACTGCAAGTTCTCAAATGCTGGCGGCGTGATCATCACAATGAGGAAGTTGGACAGCCAGTTCGAACATGTTGATAGGGCGTTGGCTTGGATGCGGATCCGGAGCGAGGTGATCTCAGCGGGATAAAGCCATGTCATGCCGAGCCAGCCTGAGAACATGTCAGCACGCACATCCCATGCGTCTTTGGAGTATAAGACTTACCGATCGCAAAGAATGTATTGAAGCCAAAAAGGAACACGGTTGCGATGACGCCGTACAAAGTGCTCAGCACTGGCGCGCCTTGCTCGTCGATTGTGGCGGTTGAACTCGTGCCTGCTAGGATGATCATGCTGGACATCATGCCGAATGCGCCGAAGAGCATGAGGTTACGACGGCCGGCACGCTCGATGAGCGGGATGGCGATGAGGCCTGCGAGGAAGTATTCGGTGCCGTTGGCGGCGGCGAGAAGGCGCGACATATCGGGTCCAAAACCGAGGGAGTTCTCGAAGACATAAGTTGCATAGTAAGTCTGTTCGCCGCATCAGTTCTTATGTCGTATGCAACTCATCTTGTGATTGTCCTTACGATCAAATTGATGCCACTAATCTGCTGGAAGAACTGTGCAGCAACACCCAGCAACGTGCGACGCAGGTTCTGCGACGGCCCATTATGGAGCAGTTCGCGCATCTTGAAAGGTCCTTCTCGGCTTTGCGCCTCGAGAGCGTCCTTGATATTGTTGAGCTCGACTTCAACTTCCGCAGATTCGACTGGTGCGCCCGCGAGTCGGGCCAGTAGATGACGTGCTTCTTGCTCGCGGCCGCGCATCAGCAGCCATCGTGGAGAGTCTGGTAAGAAGAGAAGCGCGACCCTGGTATGATTGTCAGTATCGGCACGGTGTGGTCACAGTGGAGTGCCCTACATGACCAGTACGGTGAAGAACGACTGGAAAGCGACTGGGAACCTCCATCGCACAGAGCTATATGCCTGACCTGCAGGGAGGAAGTAGAATCCATATCCGGCCCAGTACGAGATCATAATTCCGGCAACAATAATCGCGCCAGAGGTGATAATGAGCTTGCCTCTCTTCTCAGGCTTTGCACATTCAGACTGCCAGGTTGGAATTGCTGATTCTAGTCAGCGTCATATAATTTTGTAACACGCTCTCTAACAACTTACTCGACGTAACCATCCCATTCCCAATACCGCCAACAACCCGTCCAACGATGAGAATCGCATATGCATCAACGCCGCCACCATTCATCCCACCAGCCGCGACCTGGAATATGGTTCCAATGATCATGATCAAACTGCCCCAAAACGTGCTACTCTTCCGTCCCCAAAGCTCGCCATAGAACAAAATCAGCACCGCCCCAAGAAAGCAGCCGACTTGATATAGTGCCACAGCTGCAGCCTGCGTATTCGCATCTCCAGTACACATGCGCTCATCCCTGACGGTGTTTGTTGGCGAGTCAAGCCAGCATATACTGTTTGCTTGGGACAACGGTGTCATGAGCGGGAAGTGGCGCTGGAAGTCGTCGAGAGTGAGCAAACCACTCATGACTCCCTGATCGTAACCAAACATCAGAAAGGCGAGGCATGAACACCATGCTATAGCTGTGTTGAGAAGTTTGCCGGAGAGGAGACCGATGCCGGGGACGGGCCATTCTGGGAGGTTGCCGAGTGTGGAGAAGACGCCAACGACGCCTGAGGGCGGAGTACAAGCATCATGGCTCTACTTATGGTATGGCAGTGAGTTTACTGCTTCAATTTGGTCGTCTCGTGAGTCTGGTGAGTGCTCGGAGCGCTTCTTTTCTTCTGGTGAGGTGTCCATGGTATGGATTGGATCCAATGACACTGCAAATGGGCTACCGGAGGCAGTCAGTTGGACGTATGTTCAACTTATACTTCCTGGCGCAAGCTCGGTAACTTTAGGAAGGCCATTATCGTGGCGCTCCGCTCAAGCCAAGCCTCTCCGTCTTCATGCTCTTGGCCGACCCCAGACGGATCCACCAGCGAGCCAATAACGAAGTGAGCAGCTCCAAGACCAAGAGCTTTCTCTTGCCGGGAAACCGAACGAGGCAATCCGACGGTTCTTCAAGCACTGCTTGTGAAAAGTGTATCGGAACAGGATGCGATTGACGTCACTTTGCCATGATTTTGCGCCGGAATCGAGGATCTTGGGGTTCGACGCATCCCTATCTCATGACTACTCTCGCAAGATTCAAGCTACGGAGTGCCAACATCTTCCACGCCCAGTCCATGGTCGAAATCTCGCGGGGCTCAAGAAGAACATGCAGTTTGCCGTTGCGTATATTGTCGCTTCAGGGTGCATACGAGGAGCCAGTAATGCGCCGCTGACGCTTGGGGTAGATGACTTGCGGCTCTTTTGCCATTCCCACTTACTGGGAAGACAGCCACTGTCTTGGTGTTCGTGATTTTAATCATGAGGATGGGCCAAGAACAATGACGGGCGCCGGAGCGGAAAGCGCAGTCTTGGCCCACGGCCTCGTCTCGATAGCAATGCATTACTTGTGCAGTGAAGTCGCTACGCCAGCGTGCTACGTCAGACTCTGATGTGAAGATGAATATTAAGGAGACAAGGATTTGACAGTTTGCAGGAGAGGGCGACGGGAGAGAGGTGCTTGTTCATGTTGGATTTGCTGACTTCATATGGGCTCTTGCCAACATCGACGTGATCTCAGGACGCCGGCCAATGCTATGCTAGGTGTATCGTACAATATGTGTACATCTTGCGATGGAACTTCTAGTTGTAGAGTCTGGTCGAAAGATCGCGGCCAACTGTGCTGCCGACTACACAGGTCGATGCTCATCAACATCTCTTTGCTATCTTTGTGCGATTGACTCTTTGCGGAATAACCCACTGGTCTCTCTTGGTCTGTGGTAGAATGATGCGTCTATTTCTTGCCGCGCTTCGCTTCCAGGAAAAGCACCTGTTTCCGTACTGCCGTAATGTCAGCTTCAACATTCTTGCCATTCTACGCAAACTCGTCTTAGCACTCTCGTGCCATATTCAAGGCCACGTGATATCCATCATCTGTGTATCGTGCAGTGCGGGTGAAGCCGTGGCAGGAGCCAGCGGGTTGCGTACCGATTGGGTCGTATTTGAGCATGCTCAGCGGTTGATGCGCTCGCGGCCGTTGCATTGTGCGGTAGTAGCCCGTCATGGCCATTGATATCAGGCGCACCATAATGGTACGCGACTTCGCTGTTCAAGCATCGTGGTCAGCGCATGTTCGGGAGAGTTGCGATGCGACATGTGATGCCATTGCGACGGCGATCGATCGCGAACGAGAATGAGAGGAGGATGCGTAGGCAAGGGAAGCACTGCACCTTTTTTGGCCATTGCGACGGCGCTGTGTTGTGGCTTTGGGCGATGTGGTCGGCGTCTTTGTCGGCATCGTGAGGTTCTGGCGATTCGAAAGTTTGGCGGCGAATCTTCGGCACCGGGGATCGGCCAATGACAGCGCGTTAAAGCCCGCAGTTTCCTTCCGCTCTCAACCCTCTGTCGTGCTTCTGTCACACATCCTACAAGATGTACAGGGCTATTTACTATTCATATCGATTTCGATTGCGATAGATCGTGGGTCGAATCAAGAGTGATGGCACATAGCCGCTTTCAGGTTCGCCACCACTTTGAGCTGCTGCCTGTCTTTCTGATATCGCTCCTCAGTTGGCCAGTGCATCTGTTGTACTCTCAAACAGCCAACCCGGCGCACCGCGTTCAATAGCATGCAACAACGTCCGAGTATAGATCGGCTGAGACCCATCATGGAAGCCTTGGAAGGAATATCAAGGTCAGGCAAGCCAATTAGATTAGCTGAAAACTTAGAGTTGTGCGGGAATAAGTTTTGCGTAGACACCCATGATTTGGCCTACTCTCTGATCTCAGTATCTGTTGATGGAGCGAAGCTCAAGGTCAACTACAGCCTATCACCTACTGAGCTTGCCAGGGACTTCCTCAATCTTTAGCAGGGGAAGCTGTGCATTTTCAAAGCCTATATGGTAATGCAGACTTTCGAGGCTCACGCCTCGCCTCTGCCAGGTATGGACGCATCGTTATTATTCGAGACAAACACAGAGATACTCACGTCGTTGCGACGTCTACAAGTATGCCCAAAATGCGGCGTCGATTGCAACATGCGGCCTCAGCTATGGCATTCACGGCAGTTATCAAGAATGCGGTGCGTTTGTCTTCAGTGCAATCATCTAAGCAGATCTGAATTCTCTAAACTTCACCGATGTGCATCACTCGGCCACCTGTCTCTACTACCAGTCGCGCCAAATTTCGACGACAGTTGTAACTGGGGTCTATTCTAGATTTATATGGAGTCGGTTCTTGGCACAAACTTGAAGGCCATAAACAAGTTGACATGACTGAAATAAGAGTAGTGCACAATCTTAAACTCTCAGCGAGAATCATTTATGAACTTATGGCTTTCGTCGAGATGGAATGGAGCCAGCGCTATGACTTCGCGCATCGATTTCACCAACAGACGCACGGTTCGGGGTCACTCTCTGGATGGAGAGTATTAATTTAGCAGTGTATAGCAATACGAGTCCACGACCTGTTATTCTGCCCTCTGCGTAAGGTTAGCTAAATGTGATTCTGGAAGCTACACCCACGTCGTTTAAATATGGGGTTGCTGTTCACTGTACGGCGTTGTACGAGAGACACCTAGTTTGAACACGGGCTACGGCTGATAGTAATATCATAAGTTTCCCCAGTCTGTAACACTCTTGCCATCATCGGAAGTCCTTCTCTCCAATCGACCACCAATAGTTCTGCTTTTCAGCCTCAGCACACAAGGCCGGGCTATTCACCTTCAAAATCTCATTGCAATGCGATCATACTGTTGTTACTCCCACACCCAGAACAAAATATTACCAGATATACATCATTGTGTTGACATTCATGGCTTTGGGCTGAATCGGTGGTTACAGCCTGATTGCAGTTATCATCATGCACGGCTGACCCAGGCAAGATGCACTGCCGCACTGCCCCGCAAATCATCAATATATAGCAGTTTCCCCAAATTAAAGCTATGAGTGCAGAAGGTTTGATTCGAAACATCTGCCTAAGTATCTCCATCATTCCCAACGCGACTATAATCGAACATGTCCCGTGAACTCTATGTGACCAACTTTCCTACCCCGAAACACCCATTAATTCATCCACCCGACATTAGATCTGAAGATTCTGGCATTAGGCTTGTATCAGTGTTGTCTTTAGCAAAGCAAGGTGTTACTACACGTGACGTTGGAAACATTGCGACAGATGCGCCATAGTTGGACAACTCTGCTGCGTTTGATGGCAACGCCCCTCTGCCTTTCAATACCGCTGCTAACGTTTTAAGGCATTGCGGAAGAGTCGCGCTACATTCTGCTCACCGGAAAGTTGTTTGAGATCTGCACAAGTTTTGTAAAACTTCGTTTACACCATCTCATTGGCAATATCGCCTTTAGATAGACACCACAGAAGCTCTTAACAGTGATATCCAGGAAAGCGCTTAAGTTAATTGGGGCACGCCAATTGCCACTCCATGGAGCAGGCGGTGGAGCCAAAATTTCTCCAGAACTCTGAGGAAAAACATGGAGCAGATATTCCGTGGAGCTGCGAAAGCGGTCAAACTGTCGAATAGTCAAATTGATAGCTACGGCGCAAATTTCAGAGAACGCTGAACGCATGGATACTCTTTAAGACCCCGAAAACATGGTCAGCGCGGATGATATCTAGGTTGCGAAAGGTGCAAAGGAGCAGAAGCCCTGTCGAAAAGAGATCGCCAGCAGCGAGGAATGGGATGCGGTGTTGTCAATGGCTTCTGATCTATCCTGGCGTTCACCATCGATTCATCCATGTGTTTGAGCAGTCATGACAGCAGCGAATCAAGTTTTAGCGACGACGTCCAGCAACCAATTTCCATTCATCTGCATGATATGTTGGAGCCCTAGCATCTGCTGACATCTTTGAACATCGCCTAACGCGTGTGATGCCCCGGTTCAGCTGTGCGTCCTGCATTGGTTAACACGGGTTTGTAACTGAGTATCTGGAAGCCAAATGCCCGTTTGGCGCGGCGGCCACATTAGAAATGTCGATACAGATCTACGGTCCCATTCTTGGTATGCACTTCGACTGGGCACTAGCGATGCGTCTGTTTTGTTTTCGCCTACCACACCTCGGCGTCTGGTATGCGGAACCATAGCCCTGTTGGTCGATGGTGCCTAGGAAGATGGGGAGAGGGAAAGAGAGGACGGAGATGACAAAGGAAATGGAGATGGAGAGGAGAGGAGGTTGAGAAAACTGCGTAATTTGATTAGGCTTACATGAAGATGTCTCAAAGCTTGACCATTAGAATTGGCTGACGACGGTAATGTCGGCCCCAGAGGCTGATAATGGTATTGCGATGAGATGTGTTTCTTTCTGGCATTTTTTCAAGATCATCTACTATGAGGAAGTTGAGACCCTTCTGAAATGCCTGGAGTGTGAGTCCGAAGAGGTGCCAGCTTTGTGCCAATCACCCCCAAACACCACAGGAATACTTGGAAAATATCCTTACATAGTTGAGGAGCCTGAATGGTCCTTGAAATTGCCTGTCGCGCTTAGACCTGGGCAAAAAGAATAGCCAAAATGGCCATTCTAGTTTCGCGACTCGAACTTACTGCAAAATGAAACACTAAAAAATGGTAGCTTCTCTTTGATTGAGCGTGTCATCCTTAGTGCAGGGGCCATGCTAATCTTCTCTGTATGTTTTTCAAAATTGACTGGTGCCCGGAGGCGAAAGACTGTCAATTTGTTATGCTTATAATGTCGTTTGTTGTTGTGGTGGGTCGTTGGCTTTGCGGGAACTCAAGGCAGCAGACGGCACGTGATCCACGCTACAGAAGAACGTCAAACACAGCTGGGCGTCTGCAATGATAAGCCCTGTTGGCTGCAGGAAGATCGGAGCGCTGTCGTAAGTTAGTTTGAGTTTATTGTGAATGTAAGCAAAACTCTCCGAACCTTCAGCAATCGGCTCCGCGCCGTCAAGATAGTCGAAGGCCGCACACCTTTCTGCCAAGCTCATATTGGAACATGAATGCCCTCAGGGTGTCGTCGGTATTGGCTTGGAACGTGAAAAGCGCGGGAGGTACAGCCAGGTTGATCTATCAGTATCTCGTACGCAAGTCACTTTCATGACTTCTCCTCGCAGCCTAGAGAGGGGACTCACCATCCAAGTCCAGCTGGTGTATGTTAGACATGATAGAAAGGTAGCTGTGGGTAATTGAGTTACTATCTTTGGGTTTGAGGCATGTCAAAATGTGAAGCGATATGTCCAGAAGCAGCATGGGCCCTGCGCAATGCATGACACGCACCAAGACTGGAATCAGCAAAGACCAGGATGGCGCAATGATGCGACGAAGGTCCTAGTGCCATGCAACCGTAACAAGGACATTGGCGGAAGCGCAAGCATTCCAAAAGGCGCTTTGGGCTCTATCATTGCCGCCATTAGCCGTGAAAGGTTGCGATGGACGAGGCAAAAGTCAGCAAGAATAGAGCAGAAGGGGAGTGATGTGATAACAGATGGGAAATGCGATGAAGGATTGGGAATGGAGATGATTGGGGTATGAGAGGGTAACATAGAATCCTGGCCATGCTCAGCATCTCGAACGTCTCTCATCAAAGAGCAGGACAATTCACGACTGGAGAGTGTTGAAAGCACTTGCGTGCGAGCTGACAGCTGCCACTGACTTGCGAAGGCAGTATCATTGTCGTGCAGGCATCAACCTCAAGAAGCAAATCTGTCGAAGTCTGGCCACAAGTGCGCCATGTCTCTTTTCTTCGAGACTTCTGCCAGGGCATTGTAGGTCGTCGCGCTGCTCTCGTTGGTGTCAACCAGGCAGCACCAAGAGGAGGTGAGAGTCAGTCTTACATGCCTATCCTGTGCATATTTAGCGGAGACTGAGAAGGGTTGATGTACCTGAACCATGTTCCGTCCACCATAGCCCTAGAGAGAACGCGAGACTGGGACGTGCGAGATAAGCATGGCGATGCATTGCTACAAAGCTCATTAAAATCCATGGGCATAGTGCGGTTAGTAAATGCTCGCCAAATCTGATTAAAGGTAGGCTTACCGTCAAGAGAAGCGTGTTGCTCATCGGGGGTTCTTGGTTAAAACGCGCGTAGCATGCGCTCGTTGGTGTGGGTATTTGGGTTACTTTACCGCAAGGGAATGTGCTCGAGGACATTGCGGGATGCTGTGGGAAGCACGCGTTTAGTTATAGCTCGGGCTCTCAGGGAAGTCATAAGCTTACCGCAAAATTGACTTGCGAGGGCTTTGACTGTGAGTGGCACATGGTTAATAATAGAAACTTGAGACGTGAAAGAGGTGTGCTTACTGTAGATCACGGTGATGGGGATGCAAAATCGAAGAAACATCATTGCCCAGGACCGCTGGGCACCATGCGGTTAGTAGTAGCTTCTAGATTGGCGGGGAAGTATATTCACCGTCAAGTGTCACGAGACTGATGGTTGCGTGAGGGTGGGGGTGGAC